CCACTGACCGTCACGCAGGGGGCCGGGCAGGAGGGGTCCGTCTTCTCCGGGCTGCTCTTCTTCTCGGCCATGGTGCACAGCCCGTTCTGGACGGCCCGGAACAGCAGCGGGTTGAGGTCTCCATACTCGCCCGAGGCCACTTCGATAACTGGGGGGACCCCAAAGAGCAGGCACTGAGATGCCCCTAGGGCCAAGCCACCCTCCCCTGCCATTCGCGGCAGTGACTGACCACCAGAGGGGCTGGGGAAGCCTGCCCCCTCTGCCCCGGCCCTGAGGGGCACGCTCCATCTAGGGCTGGGTGAGAATGGAGCTTATCGGCTCCCGGAAATGGAGCTGGGAAGCATGACAGCGATGGGCAGGGAAAGGCCGGGGGATCCCGGGGGGAGGTAAGGCTGGAGCTGTGGGGCAGACTCCAAGCCAGGTGGGGCGAGGGACACGTCTTTAGACATCACTGCCCCAGACGCGGAGCAAGAGGAGGGAGACCTCGCGCCCACGTGCCCGGAGCCCCCCTGCACAGGGAACGGGCAGTGCCTTCCTCTCGCTGACCCCCCCAAAGGCTCTCGGAGCCCCGGCAATGTGCAGTCGCCCTGCGCTGGAGCTGTGGGGCAGACTCCAAGCCAGGTGGGGCGAGGGACACGTCTTTAGACATCACTGCCCCAGACGCGGAGCAAGAGGAGGGAGACCTCGCGCCCACGTGCCCGGAGCCCCCCTGCACAGGGAACGGGCAGTGCCTTCCTCTCGCTGACCCCCCCAAAGGCTCTCGGAGCCCCGGCAATGTGCAGTCGCCCTGCCAGGGCCTAGACATGCAGCCACCTCTGGGGTGGAAGGCGGCAGCTGTCTAGCAGGAACACAGCTCGCGTGCTTAGGGCAGAAGCGACGACCTATCCCACATGCCCAGGGAGAGGCCGGAACCACACGCCAGGCCGAGCCCAGGAGCGCACCCGGGACGCGCGCTGAATAACCCGCCCCCCTGCCCTCCTGCTCCCGGAGGCCCATCCTGGCCCCGCTCGGCTGGCGCCGGGGGCTGGCGGGGCAGGGCACTTACTGAAGTCGGCCGGGTTGTGGTAGGTGGGGCAGTGCAGGCCCAGCCCTTTCAAGTAGGGGATGAGGTTGGTTACCACCCCTTTGAAGATGCACTGGCCCTGGCTCAGGATGTAGAGCTGAAAGAGAGAACAGAGCTGCCTGGGTCGGAAAGGGCAGCAAGTCTCCTCCTATACCCCAGTCCACGCCCCAGATGTCCTGCCGCCAGGGGCTGATGCCAGCCAGGGAGCGCTCTGCCCCACAGGAAAGGGGGAGCCAGCAGGGCAGGGGTGCCCACCCCCCGAGATGCTGCCCCAGCCTGTTGGGACTCTGCCCCACAAGTTGGGAGGTGGGTCCCGTTTTGTTTTGTTTGTTACACTGCCTGCTGCCCTAGCTCCTGCGGGTCCCTGCGTGGCCGAGCCCTTTGCCTGGCACGCGCCCCAGTCTCGGCGCTCGGGGGCAGCCAGACCCCTGGGCCCCCGGAGGTGGAGCTACGAGGAGCAGGCGCCGGGGCGGGCGGGGGACTCACCCACCTTGTCGAACATTTCGAAGAGCTTGGCGCTGGGCTGGTGGATGGTGCAGAAGATGGTGCGTCCCCCCTGGGCCAGGGACCTCATCAGAGAGACCACTTGGAAGCAGGAGGCGCTGTCCAGGCCACTGGAGCCGAGGAAACGGGGGGAAGAGAGAGAGCAGGGGACAGGATGAATGCGGAGAGGAAGAGGAGGGGAGCCAGGAGCGGTGGGATGGGAATGGGGGGGGAGAAAGACCATCCCAGACACAGCGACACCTTGGGCACCCCGAGGAGA